AACAACCTCAAAGAGGCAATAGAAACATAAGTAATGGAGAAGGGTAATACTCTGACCTGTCTGCTCGGTGGAGCAGTAAAGAAAGAGGAAATGATGAGGTCACATTGCCTTATGTACATCCTGCTCTCCTGTGATTGGTTCTTTTTTCTATGTGTTTCTTTACTGCTGTATGGAGTTAGTAAAGAGAGATATGCAAAATACGAAGCCTCCTGTCATGTGGTAAAATTTCAATACAGACACATCTACCAAGGCACAATCACTATTTTTAGACTTTTTTACTCTCCATGTCTAATTTTTTACTTGCCTATGACTAGAGGTGCGTGGAAATTTCCTGCACTGAATATATAAATATATTTCAGTCTACTGAGTTTACAGATAATAGTGCAAAAAAATAAAATAATCAAGTGATTGATAGTTCTGTGGGTGGAAACATCTTGCTAACAAGAGAAGTGAGAGAAAAAATGCCAGACTGTTTGAAGCTGATAAGAAGTCAGTACTTGAAATATCCGTGCATTTCAACATTTATCTAGAATAAGAACATATTTTAACGCAGAGCACAGACCCTCAGGTAGATGGGCTACTACACCAGAGGACCACACCATGGTTCACCTTGGTCAGATAGGAACTGAAAACTGAGACTACAGTGGACACAGGTGCACCAAAACCAGACCATAATCTGGTCTAACAAATCTCAATTTCTGCTGAGGCGTGCACAATTTGGTGTAATTAAACATGAATCTTTGGTTCCATTGTGCCTTCATGGATCCATATTGTCTTCAAGTAGACCACATTCATTCATCCAAGAGACAATTTGGCACGTGTTAAAAGTATAGACTTTATTGGAAAATTATATTTAAAAGAGAAGAGGATATGAGCAAAGACGCTCGAGGGAAGGGACAAAGGTTTAAAAATAATATCAGGAAGTATTACTTTACTGAGAGGGTAGTGGATGCATGGAATAGCCTTCCAGCAGAAGTGGTAGAGGTTAACACAGTAAAGGAGTTTAAGCATGTGTGGGATAGGCATAAGGCTATCCTAACTATAAGATAAGGCTAGGGACTAATGAAAGTATTTAGAAAATTGGGCAGACTAGATGGGCCAAATGGTTCTTATCTGCCGTCACATTCTATGTTTCTATGTTTCTATGAGGGAAGACACATGACTAAGTCATGCAGTTCATGCATCATTAACTGAACGGACGTTATCTGTTATTACAGTGAGAAATCTCTCCAGCTCCCATAATAATATGTAAATCTCAGACACTGACATTAGATCATTAGTGGCTAACATCCTTATAAGGTTGATTTACTAAGCTAGGACTGTAGAGAATTGACAGATACATTGCAAATTATAGGACAAAAAAGCACAAATAAAAACGTAACCTTTCTCGGCTTAGCAGTTTTGTCCTACAATTTGCCATATGCTAGTCAGTTTTACAGAATACCACATTATTAAAGGGACACTATATATCCAGAATAACTACAGCTTAATGTATTTGTTCTGGTGAATATAGCCTGTCCCTGCAGGCTTTTTGCTGTAAGAGAGAAAAGGCCAGTGTTTACATTACAACCTAAGAACACCTCTAGTGGTCATTTCTCAGATGGCCACTAGAGGTGCTTTCTGGGGCAGTGCTGCAACGTGCCTTGCTTGTTGTGCTGCTTTTTGAGACTGATGTGTGTGGGCCCTGCAGCAGCTCACTAATTTCTCCCCCCCCAGCCCCCCCGCTGCCTGTTCTGTGCCTCCTCCTCCCTCCTGCTTGGTGCTCTCTTTCTATCTCTCTCTCTGAGGAAGTGATCCGCTGTCACTTCCTCCCAGCCACCCAATACTACAGGGGCCTGGTCGGGCTACTAAAGTGCTTCAGCGCCTGATCAGGCCCCTGTTATGCAGTGAAATGTAAAAAACAGAGTTGGGCTGTGCCACAATATAAGGATAAAGAAGTCTTATCTCAGTATAGTTCCGGATAGAACTGCGTACCGCACGGAGCGTTGCCATGGCAAAGCGGGTCTCGCGAGAGTTATTGGAGGCAATGAACTGCGTGTGAAGAAACTGTGTGCTGGGCCCCCTCTGCGGTAACAGGGAGCCGGGGGGGCCCGCGGCTGCACACTTAGATAGCAATATTCGCTATCTATGTGTGCAGAGAGGGAAAGTGGGGCCCGGGACTGCCAGAGCAGTCCGGGCCTCCCAGGACCGCCGGGCTCGTGACAACCATGATGGTTTTCACCCCCTGATGGCGGCCCTGTGTGTGGGGACCCAAAGCAGCTGCCCCTTTAGCCTGCAATATTTGTTTCTTCATGCGGCCCATCATCCACCAAGCATCGCGGTTGGAGTGCGGGGACAAGAGGCCCCAAGCAAATGCTTGCCCAGGGTCCAATCAAAATTAAAGACAGCCTTGGCCCCAGGCTGCACTTTCACAGGGGCTACTGGAGGGGAAGATAAGACTCATGAGCAGGGCTGGCATTGAGGGTTCGGGGGAATTGCGCCCTCTACACTGGTACCTTCTGCCATTGTACAAAACACTGGTGAGACCTCACTTGGAGTATTGTACGCAGTACTGGAGACCGTATCTTCAGAAGGATATTGATACCTTAGAGAGAGTTCAGAGAAGGGCTACTAAACTGCTTCATGGATTGCAGGATAAAACTTACCAGGAAAGGTTAAAGGATCTTTACATGTATAGCTTGGAGGAAAGACGAGACAGGGGGGACATGATAGAAACATTTAAATACATAAAGGGAATCAACACAGTAAAGGAGGAGACTATATTTAAAAGAAGAAAAACTACCACAACAAGAGGACATAGTCTTAAATTAGAGGGACAACGGTTTAAAAATAATATCAGGAAGTATTACTTTTCTGAGAGGCTACCAGGAGGTGGGAGGGTCTGGGAGGGAGGGTCTGCTGCTGATTGGCTGGAATGTGTCTGCTGACTGTCAGGTACAGGGTCAAAGTTTACTCAATGATGAGTCCGTGGCGAACCGTTTGTGGCGAACCGTTCACGAACCGTTCGGGACATCACTATTCATAATATGTGGAACAGCACCTTTAAAATGGGGCGAGTGGCGGCCACCAATACAGCTCCTCGCCAAGGGTGCTAGATATCCTAGGTACGCCTCTGATTATCAGCCTACTTTGTCAAGAGTTAACTTGCCATAACTCACTATTTAAATGATACAGTAAATGATCCTAGAACACACAGTTTAAACAATACCATAGATCAAGTCATCTTTCCGTCTCTCAGCTACAGAAATGACCAAAGGGGCCATATTATGTAATGTGATATTAAAAACCTGTTTATACTTAGACATCACTTCAGCCCGATGAAGAGGCCATTTGCTACTCATTGCAAATTAGCATTAAAAAAAACGCACTAACAATCAAAGCTTCTTCTCTATTTCAGCTCTCGTTGAAGTCATCATATTCTATATAATGAGCAATTGTCATGAGTTATAGGCAGAAATGATCATTTGTATACAACAAACAGCACGTTCGTGGAATTTACTGGCAATAAACGTGGCCCTAATGCAATCCCTGCACAGCACTGCTCCTTTTTAGACAATTTTCTAGACATAAATAATTCTCTTCTGTAGGTGGGATATTATATAGTTATTTCGATGATGTTGAGTCATTATTACCCCACTTCCCGGCTCTTTAATTTATTTCAGAGCTATATAGAAAAGACATTTGGTGTAATCTTAGAAAAAACTTGCTGCAACCATATATTGGATATACACGTGTTATTGCATTGCTCATGCATGACTGACATAAATGAAATAAATTATGCCCTTTAACTCTAATATTTAATTGTCTTAATTGGGGGTGCTCCTTAGTGTTGTTAGATTACTGGGCCCCCTATTTTGCCATTAAAAAGGTTTAAAACATCAATCAAGTTCACCATTATACCAGCACTGATAGAGTCTCCTTGTTGCAGCTCCAATTCTCCTGTGAAGCCATCATTGCGGATTACTTTAACCCAATCCGATGCTTCTCATAAAGTGCTGGACAATACAATGAATGCATGACAATTGTCTCCCTTGAGACCAATGCTTCTCTGTGAGAAGCACTCACTTCCTCTTCGAACTACAGTACAAAGTGAATGAGGCAGGATACACTCCTGGCTGTCTTCTTGGTACCTGAGATGCGTTTCTATAACATTTTTTTAAAAGCATTGATATATCTTGAAATGAGGATTTATGTAATGTAAACCTGCATAGACATGCATTGTCCTTTTAAAGGGACATTATAGTCACCAGAACAACTACAGCTTAATGTAATTGTTCTGGTGAGTATAATCATTGTCTTTAGGCATTTTCAGAGAAAAGTCAGTGTTTACATTGCCTCTAGGGACACCTCCAAGTGGCCACTCCTTAGATGGCCACTGGAGGTGCTTCCTGGCTCAGGGCTGCACAGTAAGCAGCCCTGCCGTTCAGCGTCCCCATGCTTGATTCAAAGCATCACTATGAGGAGGTGCTGATTGGCCAAAACAGTGTTTGGTCCCGCCCCTTGCAGATTGTAGCAATTTTGATGATGTCACCAAGGGGGCGGGGCCAGCACCAGCAGACCCGTGGAGAGCTGAAAATACGTTAACTTTTAACCCATTCTGAGGGGGCTAAAGGGGGGAGGGGGCAAGCCACCTAAATGGTGGGGTTTCACTATAGGGTCAGGAATACATGTTTGTGTTCCTGAGCCCAGAGTGAGCCTTTAAAGTTAAATCTATAACTCACATTAGTTGTTATGAATTTGTAACACAAGTTCTGCTCTAAATACCTTGGCTTATCAGTCACTTATTAGTACATGGTAACAAAGTGAATCCTGCCTAGTTCATATTAGTTAATTGAGAGCTGCTGAGTACATGTAAACTTGGCAGGAGGCATCCATGCTTTTATTTATCCCAGTGTATCTTACATGTTTTTGTAAAGAGAAACTACGAGATACTCAGTACAACCAGAAATGTATAAAGTCACATGCAAACTTTATTTCAATTAAAATTCTCTTTTTTCCCCCTCAGGGCAGTGTAACATATTGATGATCAATCAGTATGTCCAAATTTTAGGTTTCGTTGAAAAAAACTAAACGCGTAATTCTTTATCTATGGTGTTAAATAATGCTCAACAATATTGTTTGAAAAAAAGCAATTGAAAGGGTGTAATTTCTTTTTTTTCCCAAGGCTTACATTTTACATTTACAACAGATTCATCATTGTAGAAGTTGACTTGATTCCTTGAAGGGAATATGTTACACTTCTAAATTCCATCTCAGATTTTAGATGAGAACAAATTATTTCATCTCTTAAAAAGTTCTACTTTTTTTATTTTTAATGTCAAATTTTTTCAATGTGTTTGTAACACATATTATGCAAGTTTTAAGATTTAACCTGTCAAATATCTATTTTTAATCAATTAGAACAAAAACAAATACATATTCAAGAGCAATTTTGTGTCACTCCCTCTGTGATCATCAGCATTGAGCTAATTGAGTCAGTGATAAAACATTCTATTATTGGATAAATAATTGCTTGACATCATTATTGCATAACACTGTCATAGAAGGACAGTCTGAAACAAAATGCTCAAAAGTTACAGGGGAAGGCGCTAGGATCTATTGTAAGAAAATATGAGATTGGTGATCTCCATGGCACAGAACAATTTTTGGCAGAGATCTATCTGTCCTGTTTTCCATCACACCATAGATGTACAAGAACTAGAGTGTGGTTTTGCCGGGTATGATGTCATACATGTGTGCCCTCAGTCTGTACTGGAGCCTATGGGAGAAGGAACACAGAAATGAAACCTGGACTAGCAGAAAACACATCTCTTTCTGTGATACCACTTGCAATCCACTAAGATGGATTAAAGATGGACACTATAGTCACCAAATCAACTTTAATTTAATGAATCACTCACTACTCAATTCTCTGCCATATACAACCCTAGTCACACCTCCCCACCTATAATGTGCAGAGCCTTCCTAAACACTTCCTGTAAAGTGAGATCTAATGTTTAAACTTACATTATTGCAGTCTGTATAATTTCTGCACTTTTAATGGCTTGCAATTCCTTGTGAGAGACTCCTGTGTGTGAGTAAAGTTCAATTTACAGAGCGGGAGATAAAAACATCTAAAGCAAGTTAACATCTGATTGAAAAGGAAACCATTTTTTTTATGGCGGCTGTGTAATACACAGGCAGATGAGGTGTGACCAGGGCTGCATAAACAGAAACAGAAGTGATTTGACTTCTAAATGGCAGAGGATTGAGCAGCAAGACCTACGAGGCATGATCTATACACAAGAATTGCATATTAGGCTAAAGTTATTTTGTGACTACAGTGTCTCCTAACTCCTAACGATGCTGCTGGGGCACTCTTTAGGACCTCTATGGCTATATCACTGTGAGTTGGCACTTTTACTAAACCTGAGTCATTACAGAAAACAGCATTGCCAAAACTGATGCAAACCATAATGAATTTGATCATCCAAAAATGAGCAACTTTGCAATTGAATTTTTTAAACAAGTCAGTTTGATATTATACACTTAAAAAAAACAACATTTATTTAAAACAAGTATCACAAAATTGTGTAAAATTACACAATCAACAACTAAACATTTTTACAATTACACAATGTAAACTATAAAAAAAATTACGCAATTCAGGAAATACAATTGACAAAACTATGGACTTTCAATGCGACACACATTTCATTAAAACCAGAATGCATGAAAATGCAGTGATTACAGTGAATTTTCATAATCAGGGCTGTGTTTATCCTTGAAGCCACCTAGAACTATTAATCCGGCAGACATTTGGAGGGTCAGGGTAGCAAATGTTTATAATAGATATTGTAAAATGTGAAGTTATAGTTAAATTGTGCTAAAATACCTATTGCTAATGTCACTTGAACCGTCGTCAAGGAACACTTAATTAGACTGTTATATAGAGACAGAATCTGCATCTTAATTAACAGATAAAATAAGCTACTGAGATCTGTTTACAGAAGAATTTATGTTAAATTTGGCTCTTTGCCTGCTGAGTTCGCTTTTAAATCATGTCCCGACATGGAAACCTCGCGGACAATTTAACGACAATCCCACCCAAAGTTTCTAACTAAAGTTCTGAGCCAGAGAGATTACGTTTGGATATTTTTGCAAAAACAAATTAAACAAAATGTAAACAGCCAAGTAAACACACGTTAAAACAACAAGTAAAATTAAACACACAAAAGTCCATTTGGCAACCAATAGATAAACTGACGTTACAGAAGTACACCCAGTACTGTCAATATCTCTATATAAACAAACACAACATATAAATATGGAAAAAAAAATACACATTATTTTATGATAAATGAAGAGAGGTACTGTGTATATGTAATTGTATAAAATAATTATCATATAAAAATTGATATAAAAATAATTGTTTGTTACATTAATACATGCTTGGTATAAAAGAAAATATAGAAGATTATTCTCAATTTAATGCTTAAAGACAAGTTCATTGTTTGCGAAGAGCATATTTCGGTCAAGTATTTGTTCACAGATGTCTTTTTTCAGCTGCTAAAGAACACTGATAGCCTTGCAAGGTTTGTTAAATATTGCACGTTCCTATCTCAGTCCATACAAAGTCAGCTTCATAAAATCTTCACATTTGGGATTATCTTTCTATATTTCAGCAGAGATGATGTTCAGAGAATTGAGATATCAGAGATAAATCACTCCTGTCATAATCAAGTATACTCATTTTTGACACAGTGTCTTCTAGAAACAAGTTCTATAAGATATTCCTGATTTTTGGATTTGTCTATACACTTCCAGGCATCACGGAAAACTGGTTAGTTGATCAATAAGACAGTAAAGCTTTGAGGCTCAAATCCAGATGACAACGTACAGTCAGGATAGAGGAAGATTATTTTGTGTCGTCATGGTGAGTGGAATTTATGAGCTCACATGGTCCTTCAGGATGTCGGAGGTAACACAGTCTGTCAGAATGGAGGTTTTACGGTGTATTCTTGGTCAAGCCAGGTTGAGTAGAGTTAATACTGTCAGTCGGAGTGAATGGTGGTGACACTCTCCAGTCAAAATAGAGGTTACAGTGAATAGCTTGACTGAGTGGACATCATATTGGTAGTCATAGTGAGTGGAGGTTTTACTGCAGCTTGGTCAACGGGGGTCATACAGTCCAGTTAGGGTGAGTGAAGGTTATATTGTGCTGCTTTGACCACTTGGCAAACACTCTTTTTTCGGTAATAAACCGGTGTCCTCCATATGGTGCGTTTTCATGTAGAAGATATTCCTCACATTCAAATCTTCCTGGCTCATAGTAATGATAAGGCACCTTCCTAGAGCCCTCCATCCTACAACAAAACACATAACATATACATGTTCATTTAATGCTATGCTAGGTAACATTTTCTTAAACATTCCTAGTTTCTAGTTCTATCAATCAGAGGTGGTGCATCCCTCGGAGCACTTAGGACACCACATCACCAAATAACCATTGTCATAAGAAAATACTGACATACAATTCAAGTATCCATCTCTCTGTATCAAGAAGAAGGATTTTTTCATATTACTGTCCATATATAAATAAAAACAATCTGTTCATCTGCCAAGTATGATGCATTCCTAAACTGAGATATAAAACATTTAATGCAACAATTATTCAGCTCTAGGAGAGAATCAGTGCAAAGCTTTATTTTCTGCAAATACTGGAAGTAAAATTCTTGTGAATTATTAATGGTATATGTAGATACCAAACTTAATGTCTAGGAGTTTTTCACTTAGTTTTAAGCAAAGATACGTGATATAATAGTACATCACTAATAAGAACACTGCATCGTCAAGCCGAACCATACGTTTGGTGTCCTAAAGTGATATCTTACCTGCAGTAGGTGTCGTTTATCATTCCATAGACATGGATCTTATTACACGCTTCTATGGCAAGGATCAAGGTGAACCAACCGGTGCTGAGATAAGACCCTGACTGGACTCTGGAAAAAAAATTACAACATAGAAAAATGCAGTCAACAGCCAGTTAGAAAGTAAGGCAATAAAAATGTTAAATTTGACCAATAGCCAAACCCTATTAAATTAATTTCACTCAGGAAGGTAATATACATATCTCAATAACTGGAGTCTGGAGTCTCCAGAGGTATGCATTTTAGCATACAGAAATGCAAATTATATAAACGCACATTTTCTTCGTTTAATGCTATTCCCTTCAGTGATCTAAACAGAATATACAAGATAACTAAGTAAATGTATGTATTTATTTATAAAGTATTTTATCAGGAAACTTATATTTAAATTTCCCTCTCCTGCATGTCATTCATATACAGCTGAGTTTATTTTTCTTGCGATATATTTTATATTATTTTAAGAGTTGTCAAAAAATCAACAAATTCCGATGGCTGACAGAATGTACCAAATCCCAAATTTGCAAGGATTGGCTCGCTCACCTCTGCATACAAGATTTTAATGTAAAAAGCTTTTATATTTTTCTTCAAGTCTACCAAGGATATTTTCTTGGAAATTTTAAAGGTGTTTCTTCAGTTTACAAGCTGTTGAGTGGCATCTTATTCTGCCAGAACGCTACGGATCAACAGCTAAATGAAGAATTTCTATTGCTTTCTCCTCCCAGGGTTTGCAACACTCATTTCAAGGGAAATAATAATCTTTCACACGAGTAGGTACAAATCAGAACCCTAAACAGTCCTCTTACACTTCTACATTGTAAACCGGAAAAATAGATTTCGCAATGAAAATGAGAGTAACACAATCTAGGAACGGGTAACTAATCTCTTATTTGGTGCAGGAATTTTTGGCTGTTTAGTACGGGTCAAGAAAAATGTCGAAATTTGGACGCAGTGAGCAGGAAATGGAGGTTTCAAAAGGTTAACGAGATTTTTTCACAGAAGAACGTTGAATAGAAAAAAATGGAGATTTAGTGGCGTAAACATAGGATGTTCTGGAGAAATCTAACTAACACAGAATAGGAAGTAATTTGAAGACACAATCTTTTTACGTTGTTTATTTCTGAAGCAAGGACCATTTCAACTAATAAACAATTTCTCTGATTCTTTGTTTATTAGCACTAGGTCTATCTACTTTTGCCTATAAGACAATTAAAATCTTGTAACGTTAAAAATAAACACATAATTGTTCTTTATGCAGTTCAGAAGCATAGAAGTGATATTGCTTTCTCTACCCTAGGCTATACCTGTTTCAAATTGTATTAAGATGATATGAGAAATATATAAAAGCTGAACGATTTTCTGCAATTTCATCACTTACATTATTTGTGGCATAATAGTTAAAGTAGAATAGTTGCTTAACTACTAATATATTTAATGGGTTTACAAACATTTTCCCTTTAACAACCATTTTTTGTAATATTTAAATTTTTTTTTTTTTTTTAGTTTAACAAAACTGTTTTATATTTTATTTGTATTTTGTTTTACGTATAACACAATACAATAACTTACCCCCCCAAAAAAACCTAACAAAAAAAAACAACACCAAACAAAATTAATACATATGATTTATGCACGGACACATTATTAGACAGTCAAAGACCGGTCCTTATTTGTAATTAACAATCTCAGAGGCAATGTTCTAAAACTTGGGTAGACGCAGTTCCTTATTTGACAATCTAAGAATGCTGGATGTGTATCTCAACTTTACAACAAAAAAACTTAATTTGTATGTATGTATCACACAGCTCCACAACAATAAATCTCACGGCAATTTGCAGTTTGTATCACAATGTTCATGTGTATCACAACACACCATATCAATATACTTCACAGTAATTTTGCAAAAGTATATCAGATCAGTTCTCACAATAAAGATTCCCCACCCCACCCTCCCCATTTTATTAAGGTGAAAACCTGTGATTAATCTAACACAACACACAATACATTTCACTATATTACCGAGGCTCTCATGGGTCCCAACATCAACATCCTGTGAATCGGGATACCAGTAGAAGGGGTTACAGGAAATTATGTCCTTGTGCTACACTTTTTGGGGACAGTTCTCTGGTGTCCCCAAAAGTAAGTAGAACAGGGACGGTGGTATATACATACACACAACACATTACTGTACATTTATTGCTGTGGAGCTCTGTGCTACATACATACACACAACACATTACTGTACATTTATTGCTATTGAACTCTATGATAAACTCATACATCAGCACATGTTCAGTGCAGGAAAACAGCAACAGACTATTACTGTACACGAGTCATGCATAACTTGACTTGACGTAACTTAAAATAGTTTTTAATTTCACACGATGTTAGCCAAAAATTAAGCAAATATATAGATTTTAAAAAAAAAATATCCAAATTAAAGTGTGTTATCTGCCCACATCTGTCAGTCAGTTCTTGGCAAACACGAATGTGCTGATGGCAAAGTGGCTATGCCAAGAGTTGATGAACAGGTGG